TAAATCTGTGYTGTGCTAAGCAAATAAATTGTGGTGATTTGTTACAGCAACAGGAAACTCATACACCAAAGTCTAAGACCTTGTCACCATCTTTCACCTGCATTATTGCAATAGATTCCTAACTGGTGTCTCAATGTCTACCCACTATCTCTATTTTAATGTGGTAAGAACACCTAACATGAGATCTACTCTTTTTTTTCTCCCAATGCTAAGGAGTGAATCCAGGGTCTCCARTGCATGCTAAGCAAGCATTCCACCACTGAGCTACACTGTCATTTCATAAAAAATCCAAACTTATTTGACCAACAAGGCYTACACAAACTTGGTGTTTCTGTCTCTGTCTCTCTGTCTCTCTTTGTTGTTGTTGGTACTAGGAATTGAACCCAGGGATGCTTTATTACAGAGGTATATCCCCAGCAGCTCTTCTCTGGGTCTCCATCCTGTCAGTCTACTCTGTAGATGTTGGGTTTCTTAACCTCACAGTCACATGGACCTGAAACAAGAGGTTTGGTGGATCTCCAACAGTGAAAACAGAAAAAAAGACAACATCTAAAAATTAGCTTCCAAATAATTGATATTGCTATAATATGGATCTTAAAAGTCCCCCCAAAGGCCCATATGTTAACAGTTTCTTCCCAGAGTGGTACTATCAAGAGGTAGTGAGACCTACTGTGATGTTTTTGGGTCACTGGGGATGTGCCCATAACGGGGATAGTGAGACCCGAGCTTGTTCCTCTCTCTTGTGCTTTGCCAAGGTCTYGGCTTGGCACTGAATCACAAGCTACCACACAGCTTTGTAGGTTCAAACAGCAATTCTTTATTCCCGAACTCACACTGCCGTGTACAAACACGTTCTGGCGAAATCCAAGTTCTGCCCGCACAATTCACCTACTCCACGAGGCTATTTCCAAATCCCATTTGAATCTCACGAGAACTCAACGGGAACAAGCAGCAGGAACACCCTAATCCCAGCAGCAATAATCTTCAACCTCCAACTTCCCTAAAACCCCTATTATCTTAAACGGGGAACGCCTTAAACTCAAGGAG